TGGTCGTTTTCCATTGAGTTTTTCATAAGAGAAGGATATCGCCGCGGCTACGCCATTAGCTAAGAAAATTGACAGGAAGAGTGTTAGAGACGCCTTGCAAGAGAAGCCTGAACGTGGGTTCGTTTTCCCTTCTCACGCTGGCTTATTTTAGGTCGGTACCTTGCCATTATTTTGACTTGTCTGCGTAGACAAGAATGTGATAGTGTATTAATTGATAAGCTTCTGGAAGACACTATGTAGGTTAGAGTCGCATTCTAACCGTTACAATGCTCAATGATATCAAATCATGACTTCCTAATACATTCGTTGATTAGTATCATACGTCCAGACTGACTTACACTAAAAATTTTTCAAAGTAGGATTAATCATAACGTGGGAAAACTTTTTTGTGTACATGTAGTCCGACGACTGAGTGTGGAAATGAAAACTTGAGTGGCATAGCAAGCTTAAAAAAGGATGAAAAATAAAGCAGCGATCCTTTCAATTTAGTCACTTTTTGCAGTGGTATGATGTTATAAATATATTCAATGACGTTGAGTGATTTGGAGGACTTTGACGTCACACAGAAATTAAACCCGTATTTCATCCTTTCTGGAGGCAAGTGTTGACCAATTGCACTGCAGACGCCTCTTTTGTCACCACTTTTTCCACGCTAAACGATGCAGCTCTCGACGCTGATCAGTTCCTGATGGGTGCATTATGCACACTCGTCTTCGCTTTTAACTTCGTTTGGAGTGATTAAATGCATAGTTGGCTTGTACAATGACTCGCAGTGGCCTACCAATGAGTCAGGGCGGTGCTGGTACCCTCCCAGACAATCTGGCACTAATTCACCTGCCCCGATTGGATGAAATATTAATGAGTCTTCAGCGCACGATTGAACCACCGAACATGTGTGTTACAGAGCACCTCTGACCACTGCGCCACACCCGAGCCAGTGTGTAAGAGAAGAGTGCACATCAGCAAGCAGCAGAATTTCACTCAAATAAAATCACTTCTTGAGATATAAATCTTTTAATCGGCAAGAATTTCAGGTTTAGTTTTCCATCTGAATTTAGGCATATTATAAAAATTCAAGGTATAGCACACTGCAGTTCTAGATTTTCGTGATCGCGACACATTTGTCAGCTCTAATTTGGGAAAGTAACTAATGAAAGTGATGCTTCTAATCTGTTCGATGATCTGCGGTATCACAGTAGATCGCAACATATGACTCATTTAGAGTCTGATATGTAATAATGGTAAAAAGCCTGAAGAAGAGTATTTCAATAATTATATAGTTCCAAGATGAAAGTAGAAGGACGTACCTTTACGCTGAGGATGAAGCCACGATTTCCTCGGTTTTCTCGTCGCCGCCGTGGTAACCGCTGTCGTCGTAGTCGTCACTGTAGCATTTTCTTGAAACTCACGGCCCTAATATCACTGTAGTGCTTCTCCATGCACAATCGATGCACCTCCTTTTTTTACAGAAAGGTCTTAAATAATAAAATTAGACTTGTTCCAGAATTGATTAGATTCCCAGCAAATGCACTCGTCGAAATCCGTACATATACGGGTACGTAGACCGATTTCTGAAGATCTAACGATCGTTTCGTTCGCAATGTCAATCCGAGCTAACTCTGGAATAACGCAACCCTGTTGAATTTTGGTAGTCTGACATTTTATTGCATGTTATATTCACCAGTAGCTCTATAAAAGTGTATGGAGAAGTTGTGATGATTTATGAATAAATAATTATGAATAAGTTATCCGTAAGTGATACATATCAAACGAATGCATTAGTGCCGCGTGGAGAGTGTTAATTTCAACAGATTCTCCCGATAATCCTTCTAAAATCAACCGTCTTTTCTTCTCAAGGAAGTATTTCTTCACAGTATTGTCGATATGACTGACCTGTAGATTTGTGATGGTTGCCCGTTAAATGACAATCATAGTAACGGATATAAAAACAGCCAGCCATGATACAACTGTTCCCATCATTACACCGTTGATAGTTTAGGTACATCTGAATTATATAATGAGAACGTATATACGGGTACTCTTCCGTCATCTCCGCCCTGTTTGACCTTTTCAGTAAAAACGTACCTTTCATTTTTGCTTGAAATGTAAGTATGTAAAAGATGGCTGAAATCAATCAAATTCTAACGGTTTTTTTTATTCCCATCGATTTGTTCTTTGCGCTTTAACATTCAAAATAGAACTTTGTTTCACATTTGAGAATATTTCGCCAGATAGAGTTTTTTCTGTAAACAAACGATAAACATTCGATAGCGCAAATCTCGGCAGTCCCAAAGGTGCATTTGCTTTTTGGAATGCACTTCTGAGCGCAATGTAACAGTGAAAAAAAGCTGGGTTTCGCACTCCAAAGGGTAATTTCGCAACATTAGCTCCAAGTCTCCGCGCTTTGTTATATATCGATTATGTGCAAAACGTATTATTCAAATACAGTTTTGAAATAGCTGAGGTTTGCGCTATCAAATGTTCCTTAAAACAAGCAGGGAAGCTTTATTGAGCGAGAAATGCTTGAGTGCGAAAGGTATTCTTATTTTACTGTTAGAGCGCATTACGGTTGTCCGATCATTTTTTGAACAGTGGGATTTTATTGTTGCTCTTTCAGTTCCACAACATCATCATATGATAGATGTGCTCCCAAGAAAGTTTGGTCTTATCGTCTGGAAATGGAAACGAAGTTTAGTAGTAGCAATTGATACACATTTTCTAGTCTAGCGATAAAAGTAATGGTTGCAAAGCTGCGTTTGTCAATCAACAAGTAGAAAACAGCAAGATTTCAAGCGATTCGTGAGAGAGGTGTGCTGTAATTCAGTTCAATGCCTTAGACACTGGCAGCGCCCCCAGCATGGGTCTATTGGTATATATGTTGACAGGGAAGTACTGCATGGCAGATCATAAAATAATAGCTTTGAGAATGTGCTCAACCTACAACATGCAGGCGCTGAACTACTGCAGCTTTCTCTCTGGCCAGTTTTTATTGGTCAGTCATAAAGTTTAAACTAGCATCTCTTTATTACATATTTCCTTTTGTTTACTAAATATCATTTCATTTCTAGCTTTGAGGTTATATTTACCTAAAACAGTTGAGATACTGAGAAAAACTGGGTATATTGTGTTAGGTGAAAATCTAATTACAACAAAAATCTTTCTTTTGTGAAATGTTGATAACTAGACAAATTTGCAGGAAAAAAGATTTGCGGGAACATCTATATTTCAAAAAGTCTCTTCTAAAGGTATAACCGCATCACAGGAACGTTAGAGCTGCTTGGTTGGTATTAGGAACTTCCGCCTCATAACATTCGTTCATGTTCTCATCACGTAGATGAAATTACACTGACCGAAAGTCATCAGGACATTGTGACAATGAAAAGTACGTAAATTTATCCGGCTATGGCAGAGAGAAGATGTTTAGAGCTAACAGGAAATCTAGCATCTCACGCTATCTAACGAGCAATGTTCGCCTCGTTTAAGTGATCCGTTTTATTTTTAATTATAAAAGACGTCAGACTCGATTTGGATGCCCTGACGCAGACGTTCATGATATAGCTTGAACAATTTCTTTTTTGCGATATCAGTTTGTAATATCAGGTTTGAACGGCCACCGACACGATTTTTTGCGAGTGAATAGAAGTACCACTAGATTAGGACGATAAGTAATTTCTTCCTCAGATCGCAATGCAGTAATACGGCAGAGTACTAATGAAAACCTGAAACTCGAGTGACATGCAAAGGGGAAACAACTCTAATCAATCATAGGGAAATTGGCAAATTTGTATCTCTTCAATACAGGCAACAAGTCTTTTAAATGTTTGGCAGTGTTGCAGATTGTAAAGCGCTGTTCCAAATTTTAAGGGTACCTCTTGCAGTTTAATTTTGAACTTGATAAAAAAGTCGACATACGCTTACATAGGTGGTGCTGTCGAGAAGCTGAAAAATATGTTAAGTCGTGAGCAAAAAGGTAAAGCTCAAGAAACAGCGTCAACAGAAAAAAGATTATCTGAGCGCTTGTTAACATCAATAAAGAAAAATAGTGGGTAAATAATTGGTATTCGTTTGCGGTAATGTCGACACCACATACTGCTCTTGGATGTCGCTGGTCTGAAAAATCCTAATTCGACCAGAGCGATCACCGTAATCAGCGAGTGGGGGGGGGGGGGGGGCGACTGGATTTGTGCAAACACGAGGTTAGGCGAGAGGCATGACCTTACACCATATGAACCCACGAGTGCACACGCGCAGAACAAGTGATGACTTACGAGCTGGGCAGGATAGGGCGGTAGAAGAGGATTAATGAATGTAGTCTACCTTGAGCCGAATCATGTTAGTGAGCTGATTCCAAAACAAAAACGTTAGCAAGCACAATGGTTCGCCTAAGAATCTTTTTACCACGGAGCATATAACGTAGATAAAAGTTGTGGCTATCCTTCTTGCTTACACACTCCAGAAATAGGACACAGCTTGGCTGGAATATAACGCGTCTATCATGTCAATGACAGTTTGTATTGTAAGGCACTATTGACTATTGTGCCACGCGCGCCTCAATTAATTGAAACTGGAGGAAGTTAAAAAATACACACTGCTTTCTACATTGTTGCCAATGAAAAATATGATCTTGTTAGCAAGTCGTCATTCTCAAGCTGTGATCGTCTGCCTAGAAGATCAATTTGACAGTGATTAGGAGGACGATTATCAGATTGGCAGTTTGCATTTCCCGAGTTGGATTCCATCAAAACTTTCTATAAAAGACTCTATTTAGCAACGCTGAATCAATAAGAATCTTATTAGAAGTTATCATAGAAGATTTTTTGAAAGCAGAACGTCCCTTTGACAAGCCAAAAATTCCAAAGATCAGAATTCATTTTATTTGACCGCCTGATGTGGTGCTAAGATGTCATAATAAACCCAATAGTGTAGAGTGGTGTGCAAAAACATCTGCGGGTGCCGGGATTCAAACCCAGATCTCACTCTTTCCAGGAGCGTGTGTTGCTGCGTCGGTGGTGCAACGATTCAGCACATGCTCCCGTAAAGAGTGAGATCTGGGTTCGAACCCCGGCCGAGGCAAATTCTAAAGGTAATTACTATCATTACTAAAAAAGAACGGGATTTTCCGTGCTTTCAAGCTTAAAGAGATATGAGCTAGTGTCTCGAAACTTAGAAAAATATGAGCTAAAGTGCACAGCATCTGACATGGAAAAGCTGTTGTATGTGGTTGATGCGAAAGATATTACGGTTTATGTTCGTGAATTTCATTCTATTTGAGAACTAAGCATGCACGAATCTTTATAAGTTAAAATAGAAACCATTGCAATCATATTTGTTAGCGAGAAATAAGTTACTAACTGCTGCATTATAAAAATAGGTGTCGCAAGAATCGATGAACTCTTGGAAAGCTTCATCTGCATCCTGTCGGATGTAGAGGTGTTCTTCTTGCAAGAAGTTGCCAAGATGCTTAAGTAAGTGGAAATGGGTGGGCTCAAGGTCTGTTGAAATGAAGGGTGAAGCAAAACTTTATAGCCAAGTTCACTCAACTTATGAAGCATTTGCTGTGCGATATGTGACCACGCGTTATTGTTTCTGCTGACCAATATTCGTTGCAGGCGTAGCAGTTTTTGGTGCATTTAATCGGGCTTACTTCTCAGATGTAATTATTTCATGGCGATCGAGAAAGCTGTAGCGGATCAGACCAGCAGCACACCACCGTACAATAGCCATGGCCTTCTCTTGATGCGCCGGTTCTCGTTTATTATCCACTTTCGTCGCACGTACAATGGTTTCTTTGCAATATATCCTGTATCGTTGAGGGATCAGCTTTGATGATTATTTCCATATGGTCGTTAGCAACTACCCATGGCCGGCCACTATGTTTCTCATCTTCAAGGATCTCATTACCTTTACAAACGTTCTTGAGCTACCACTGCACTATATGTTCGTTAGCAGATCCTGGGCCAAATGCGTTGCTAATGTTGTAACTAGTCTTTGTTTCTTTACAACCCATTTTGAGCTCGAATTGGAAAACCGCTCGAATTTCCTTTTTGTCTAGCATTCTTTCCATATTCTAGAATAAATATAGAACAAGCAGCAATTATTACGTCATCAGCAACAAAGACGAGAAATGTGCCTCAAAAATGTATAACTCAACCACATGTACCAAGAAAAACATTCCAATTTTGAATATATTTCGAGCGGCAAGTTTAAACAAGTAAACCGCAGTAATTTTTTCACAAGCCTCATAAAAGGACGAGTCCAAAAATGTCCCTGACATGTTCCTATGGTGTCTAAATGTCAACTAACGATAATCGCAGTCACAATACTGTCTAAAAAGTTCGTTCTATTGATTCGTCGCGGTGTGATAAGTCATCATTTATGCATGGCATTATAAATGAGAATGACGCTGATCGCGAATCTACACAGGAAAACACTCCACGAATCATTTCATTGTACCATCGCCTCAATTTTTTCTAAAGAGTAACAAACTGTTCGCACCAAAGCCGCATCTCTAAAGCGTAGAAGAAATTCAACGCTTCCAGTAAACAAAATCTCAAAGCAAAAATTCTCAGGTTTCTGTCATCCTGACACAGCAAAGTCTTAGTTCTCACACTGTGCTCCTTCGGCACTTAAGATTGATGACCAAGTCCTACGATATCTAAATCAACGATAGGTGGTCGTTCTCAGACTTGGTTTAAAGCATGGTGCTCTGTCTCCGAATGAACAATGGCTCACTAGTTGGCCGACAATTAAGCTGTGAGATATTGACGAACTGTGGTCCCCCGTATATCCTAAAGAAGCCGAGAGGTCGCTAAAAATAATGCCTTGTAATATCATAGTTATTATTAGTGAGTTCAGCACTTTGTATATCCAGCCGGCGAAGAAAGAGAGAAAATGCGAATTTTTTTTTCCTGGAACAATATGAAAATCAAATATGACGTTTCTTTCGAAGCTAAAATGTTTATCTACGCTGTAAAATTACTCATAGATTACAAGATCCTACAATTAGGACGGATATCATCAGTAGGTTTGACAAGAAACACTTTTTTTTTGTCTGCAGCACACACTGAAAACCGTAGTTGAAGACTTCTGCACATGTTATAGGTTGAACTTCCATAATGCGAGTCTGTAGGTCAGAAGTTTTTCACAAAATGCGAAATGATCAAAAAGACCGATAACCAATTGCGTTCGGCATTGACAATAAAATTGTAGTATCTCACAGACTTTGCCACTACGAATTTGTGGGAGCGTATTCACAACTTCCGTGGCTAATGATATTTACTGACAACCAGTGTGCCACACGCGATAAAGAAATTCTCTCGTTTTATTGTAAAGCAGTTTTTTAAGAGTGGAACTTGTAACATTCCGCTCATGACAGTACCTTCCACTCAACTATTTTAGGATCTTGTTCTAAATTTCAATATAGTCTGATAGATAGTAATGATGAAAAACTTTTTGCCCATGGTCATAGGATAGTGATAAATATATCGCACGTCCGAGAATGCCGAAACGCACGTATATCACTAAAGATGACATACAAGACCTCTGACATTCTTAAAGCGTTCCATCAAACATTCTGATCATCACCAAACATTTTATTTCATTTTCTCCATTGCTATCATCTTACAAACGTCCTCCCTTGAAGAGCTTGTCCAAAGCTATCCATTTAAAAAAATCTAAAAGAAACGAGAAACTAAATGGATAGCTGCTATCGACTGCTTTTTTACAGACCCGCTCAAAATGATTTAATGTGATAAGGATATGACATATTTTGAGCCAGAGGTCTAGTGCTATATAGGCGCCTATTTCGTCCTACTGGGACTCATCAGTAGCACCCTCCCTCGGTTCAGTCGATCCCTTGAGGTGAAATAATCCTCTAAAGGAACCGACGCCGAGTAAAATTAAGCACCCAAAGTAGGATGATGGTATCACCTGACTTTGTGGTGATGGACAGTCGAGCTTACGGCTTTTAAAATGAACTATATTCCTGCTATCGACTGCTTTGTTACAGACCCGCTCAAAATGATTTAATCTGATAAGGATATGACATATTTTGAGCCATAGGTCTAGCGCTAACCGAGGGAGGGTGCTACTGATGAGTCCCAATAGGACGAAATAGGAGCCTATATAGCACTAGACCTGTGGCTCAAAATATGTCATATCCTTATCAGATTAAATCATTTTGAGCCGGTCTGTAAAAAAGCAGTCGATAGCAGCTATCCATTTAGTTTCTCGTTCAGAACTTTTGAACAGTGCCGTCGCGGACAGCATGGCAGTTTAGCCGATTTCGAGTCTACACGTAATAGAAATAACTTTGTGAATCGAATTATCGTCGAGTTCCTCAAAACTGTCAACCTCTATTTCGGCGTTTATAGTGGGATAGTTGAGCAGTTTTCGGATCTCTGAACTTACGCAGTAGTATGATGTAGTATCAGAAGATTTTATTCATATTTATAGAGCAATGAGTATCGTCTTTTACAAATCTGCAATCCTGTCATAATTACAAGCAGTTTGGCTTCCTTTATTGCAAAAAAAGATTGATCGATTCAAAAAGTCCGTGGCTAGGAACACAAATTGATCTTTCTCCACGCAGTTTCTCACAAAAGAAGGTCGCGACTGCGCCATCAGCAAAGAAAATTGGCAGGACGAGTGCTGGAAACATATTGTAAGAGAAGCCTGAACATGGTTTCATTTTTTCTTCCCGCGGTAACTTGTTTTCGATCGACACCTTCCCACTGAGTTTGACTTTGCTGGGAGGACAAGAAATTGACAATGTAATAATTGATAAGCTACTGGAAGACACTATATATGTCAGAGTTACATTCAAAACTTTACAATGCTCAATGATATCAAATCATGACTTTCAGAGTACATTCGTTAATTGGTATCGCACATCCAGACTAACTAACATCAGAAATTTTTCGGAATAAATTTAATCATAGCGTGGGAAAACTTCTCACTGTATATGAAGTCCGACGACTGAGTGTGGAATTGAAAACTTGACCGGCATAGCGAGCTCAGTAAAAAATTGAACGGCAAAGCAAAAATTCTTTGAATATACCGCTATTTTTGCAGTGTTATGATGTTACATATACACCTAAGAGAATTGAGCAAAAACGCGACTTTAGGCGGGAATCGAACTCCCGTTTCATCCTATCCGAGAAGCGTGCTCTACCACTACAAATTTCTTCCACACTTCGACACTTTGTTGTTTCATTTATCTTTATTCTTATTTGATCCGCCATCACACTGTTCTTCTTTTCTTCCACTGTGCGGACATCATTACTTCTAGTATTCATTTCGTCTTTTCGTCTTCTTCTTAAATGGCGCAGAATACTGGTTAAGAGAATCTCCTTTGGTGGAGCTCGGCTCTAGGCGCGCCGTGACCAACCACAGCCACTCGGCCACGGCGACCTTTGCTAATTCAATTATTGTTTAATCAAAGAAATCAACCAATTGACAATATAACAACATCGTGAGATGATATGCAGCCATTCACTGAGCGACGACTGAAAGCCTTATTCCCAAAAATTAAGGCTGATGATTAACCCCTAAGAGACGACGTGTACCAGCTAATGTACGCGATTGCTTGAAGGCCTTTTTTCGTTACATAAAAGTTTTTTTCCTAGACTTTTGGTAATTATTCGGAAGCCTAAATCTCTGTGATTTCAATAATAATTTTGGTCTTTTTACAACGTTGCAGCAGCGCTAACAAAATTAGATTTCACACATAATTTTATTCATTTGATCGGCGGGGCTTCGATACGGTTCTTCACTAAAGTTTTATCAGTCATTAGATAGCTCAAATCTCGAGGATTTTGGTGATATAGTTGGTTTTTTGAAATTTAACCACAAAACGCTGCAAGGGCGAAAAAAGATGACATTTCACTTGTAAAATGTTAACCCGCCTCTTGAACGTCATAGGTGGTTTATTGGTAATTATAGGGTGATGTTTATAGGTCAGAGGTATCTTACCGTTGCATGGAGAATGGAACATTGCAAATAAACCTTTTACAAAGATTTTTATTAAGAAGAGTCATCACGTCTTTTGAAATCCTTTATTTTTCAGCGGTAGT